CGACGCAGCTCGGGCCCTGCCTCACTGGGCGGCCAGCCAGGCTGCACTGGGCCCGCTGCTGGCCGCGGGGAGAGTGGGGGGCGTCTGTGCGGCCTGGGGCGCTGGGCTGGGGCTGGGGTGGGTCAAGCCCGGGGTCTCCCTGAACCATCCCCTCATGCCAGGCTCCTCTCGCTTCCCGTCTAGAAAGTGGTGGAGAAACTGAAGCAAGAAGAGGAGCAACAGAAACAGGTGTGTGTCTGTGTGTGTGTCTGTGCTGATCCCTCTGTGTGTGCACACGTGTGTGTGTATACACATGAGCACACGTGTGCCTGTCTATATGTGTCCGTGTCCCTTGCTGGAGGGGAGACGCCCTGCAGGGGGAGGGGGAGGCGCCCCTGTCTTGGCGCTGGGGTGGCTGTTCACACACATCTGGTTATTTGCATTTTAACTTTATTTCTTATCTCTTCCCCCGCGCAGAAACCCAGCCTCGACTGTGAGAGCGACAAGGACATCGAGGTGAGGGGGGCTGGGCCCATGGGACCCACAGGGACCAAGACTTTGCCTCCCTGCTCCTGGCAGATCTTTCCCTTCGCTGCTACTACCGTGGCGAATAGAGACCCCGGCCGAGATCAGGGCCCTGTCGGGCCGGGCGCCGCCCAGACCCCGGCCGAGATCAGGGCCCTGTCGGGCCGGGCTCCGCCCAGACCCCGGCCGAGATCAGGGCCCCATTGCGCCGGGCGCTGCCCAGATCCCGGCTGAGATTGGGGCCCCGTCACGCCAGGCTCTGCCCAGACCCAGAGCGAGCCCACCCCTGGGCATGTCGCCATCTGAACAGAGGCGGGTGGAACGGGAAGGAGGCACCGAGGAGGGACGTGTTTGCCCAGCACCTCAGCAGCAGAGGAGGGAGGAGAACGGAGGTGACCTGAGCCCCAGGTCCCCATGCTGCCCCCGGCTCTCTGCCCCCCAGGCCATAGCCCAGCAGCTGAAGGTGCTGCCCCTGACGGAGCGGAACCTGCGCATGTTCGACCACGCCAGACGCAACCTCATCCCCTCGGCCGAGCGCCAGTTCGCCTGCCAGGCCTGCGACAGCGCCTGGTGGCGCCGTGTGCCCGAGAGAAAGCAGGTGCGTCTGCCGGGGCTGGCGGTGGGGGGCGGGGCGGGGCAGGCTGTGGCCCAGGACACTCACTCTCTGGGGACCCCCACAGGTGTCCCGGTGCCGGCTGTGTGGGAAGCGCTATGACCCGGTGCCCTACGACAAGATGTGGGGCACGGCCGAGTTCCACTGCCCCTCCTGCAACCGCAGCTTCAGGTGAGGGGGGGGG